TTTTTCCGCTTACTCTTAATCCTGAAGATGGAGATAGTATGTTCTTCAAAAACACCAGTAAACTGCCTCACATCCTAAAACAGTAGCTTTTTATGCTCTTACATTAAACTAGGGGCTCTGCGTACTCAATATTCAATCATAACAAATACAGAGGGGTCCAAAAAATGTACTCACTATTTGATAGTCAATATCTTTGGAAGATACTATTAAAGAGTGAGTACATTAAGTATTTCTTGTAAAAGTGATGGCTGATTATTTACAGGCAGAATTAGTACGGCCTGCAACCTGCACAGCAGTGTTCTGCCAGTGCACTGAGTTACAAAACTGCTGTGCAGCACTGATAATATTTTACTGTATGAAGAGAAATATTAGCTGTTAAAGAAATGTTAGAATTACTGGGTTTTGGACTTTGTCAATTCTAAAGGGTTCTGACGATGGTGTGTGACATTCCGAATTACTGGCTTTTTTTTTGGACTTCATCCGGTATGTAACTTACTTAAGTTGAATGGAATGGTAACCATACAAATATCAAGCTCAATAATTTGACCTTTCCTTTATAAAAACTGCGGTATCTGATGGCATGTGATGTCTACTGGCATTCTATCTGAATTACATAATCAGACATGGTTGAGATTTTTCTTTACATTTGAATGCTACAGCTCTCACAACCGAAAATGATGGCTTCCCACTGCAAGAAATAAAGCTGGTACTTCTAAGGGTTAAAAGACATTTTGACAACCACAAGTGAATAAGATCTATACCTATACAGGTAGGGACTGAAGACTAAAGCACATTTGCAAGAAAATAAATGACAGTAATACATACTGATGGATGTCAATGATGGAAGAATATTCAAAATGTTTCTATAGCACAATATGCTACTTATGCAAAGATACCCAAGCTATACTTTGAAACTAACAGTGGCTGGATCTCAAATTCAAGTAAAGATTTACTTGTTTTCAACCTAGAAATATGTTCGCTCATTTGTGATATCCGCTGCTTTGAAACTCACATAGCTGTCTGATGAAGGGCTGGAACTCTGTATTGTTGCTTAGTGGCAACACTGAACATTTGAATGGTGCCACCACAGGAGGAAGAGACAGGAACTGCGAAAGAAAGTTAACGTACTTTATACATGGCATCCAAAACACTCAATTTTATGAATTTAAATTTTACTTTGAACTTCACATTTTTCATTTATTTGTATCTGCTATGCCTGAGAGAGCCTGCATAACTGAATTCAGATGAACATGAATGACACACTGAAAACAAACTCACAAAATGTCACTTCCACGCATACATGATCCATCATGTAAAAGAAAAATGTGTATAGCATACATAAATTCTAGAACCTTCTAAAACGTTTTTTAAATTGCCTAACTACAATAATATTAAAAATAATTAACTTTAATTTCAAGTAACAGCCTCAAGTGGACAATGAAGGATAATTTTGAGTTATTTCAACTAAATTTCATCAAAATCTGATAATGTACAGTTACACCTCAACATACAACTTCCAGACTTACAGTCCCATTGGGGCCACACCATAGCTCAAGCGGTTAGTCACTGGCTTCCCACTGCAGCGGCCCAGGTCTGGTCAAGTGGGATTTGTGGTGGACAAAGTGGCGCTGGGGCAGGTTTTCTCTGAGTACTTCGGTATCCCCTGCCAATATTCATTCCACCAATCACCCTCACCTATCATCTGGGGCTGGTACAATAGGCCAGAAGTGGCCGCAGTACAAGGAACTTAGTCCCACCCCACTAGCAATAAAAAAAATAGTCCCATTAAATTAATGCCCAACGGACTTATGTTCTGAAATTTCACACCTTGGACAGCAGCTTCAGAAAGTCCAAGGCCTCAGTAACTATTTTTCTGCCAGGCCAAGTCCCCAAAAATTTCCCTTAACCAGAGCTCTCTCATCTGAATCTGACAAAGTACAGATGATGTTGGATTTTTATAAAATGTTAATTTATTTATTTATAAAGTTTTTAAATGCTCTGGCAACTCAAATTGTTAACTCTTAAAGTTCCAAGATAAAATATTAACTTATTTTTAATATTTATACTAGGTACAATCTGCAATCTTACTGTTCTTTGCTCATCTCCTTCACGCATTATGAAGTTATGTTCGAACAAGGCATACATTATTCGTCCAATGCCAAAGGATGGTTCCACCACACTAGGTATTACTTCCTCCACATGAATGGTTTTCTGATGTTGTTTTATGGACACCATTTCAGGGGTCAGCTGGAACTCTGCACCTCCAATGTTGATGACATAATAACTGAATAATAAAATACAGATCAAAACTGAGATGAATCAAGACTGCAATATGCAGGAGAAATACAAGGGGCAGTAATGGGATCGGAATAAATATCACAGAACCCAACAGTACAGTAATCTAGCCATATTACATGACTGAACAATAACAAAAGTGCAAGGGAATTATGAGATGCAGAAACAAAATCAAGGTCAACAACAAAATAGTGACAAAGTGAAAGGCATATAGAGAGATCAAGCAGAGGCTGGTAGCAAATTCCGGATAAATGACTGCGGGAGAATATTTAAATGGCTTTGCAATGTTATGGCCCACAGAAGAGGAAATGTTCCTGGAAAATGATGGGAATGATGACATAGGCTCTAATTTATTCTATATAGACATGTACACAGTGCAGTCTCACCCATTATCTGCCAGAGACTTCTCCAACTCTAGCAAACCATCCTTGTCTAATACTGCCAAATGATCAATTATAGCTTTTCCATCCTTCTTGAAGGTTTTTCCTATGGCACCTTTGTTCACTTGAGGTTCTGTAACAGGGGAATCCCACATAGGTTGACACAGCATTTAATTATATATGATGGGAAGTGTTCATGATGGTATGCAATGAAGACTTCTTGGGTGATCAGCCATGTCAATGTGGAGTTAAGGATACAATCAGTTCACTGATGTAATGGCATAAATAATTTACATTGATGGTACATGTGAAGAGTCACAGTTTTTTACTAAAATATCATCAGATGATCAGCCATGTCAATGCAGAGCTAAAGACCAGTGTTTTGGAGACATTCATCGTCTCCATCAGGGTTAGCATGGGGAATAATCATACACTGCCAATATACACATGCATACATCTGTCAGGGCAGTGTCTCATCCTAGTGGAAAATTAGGCAACAGGAGGGAAGAGTTAAATTGTACAGTCACATACCCCACCTGGAGTCCCTGTTTGTCAATTAGTTTCTTATTCTTTGTATGCCTGTCCCTTCCAACTCCTGGACAAGAGGAAAGGAATTCAGATAAATCTCTTCTAAAAAAATAACTTCTATCTGCAAATGGATGAGTAGCTGTTGATCTTAACAGTGGCACGCTAAATATGAAAATTTACAGACCAATACAGACATTGTTCCTGCAGTCAAATCACCAGACTTAATTTTTTTTGTATGATAAAAAATGAAAACTGATTAAAGCACCAAGTGAGTTTGGGAGAGGTCATGAGATGCAAAAAAAAATTTATAATTTCCTTTCACAAAAGAGAGGTGGAGGCATAACAGGCATTATATACAGAGCTTCAAATTATCATCTATAAAGGCACACAGGATGCACCAGACAAAAAGATCGATGTCTCACCTGTGACATCAACAACTTTTGGTTCAGCAAGTTTTTTCTCTGCTGCTAACCGTACACCAGTAGCCTTGGTGTGTTGCGTCAAGTCAAAAGCAGACCTATCGGCACATCCCACACACTCAACCCAGCCCTGAAAAGTAAAGAGTTTCATACTATAGTTACTAGTAAAGCACAATAGACCACTGTAGGTCATGGTGCAAGGGCTGAGAAGGCCTACTCCTCATACATTCATTCATTCATAGTTACTAGTAAACAAACACTGACCAGGAAGCTAATTCCAGTCCTGTAACATGCTTTTTCAATTCAATTCATATCATCACAATATAATTCTTTAATACAAATTTCATTATTACTGTCATATCTATGTCCAGGCCCTTTCTCCTGAAGATTTCCAAATAAATTTTGTAAATATTTATTTCCTAAAACCTGCAACATGTCTCCCTAATCCCCTTCTTATTTTAATCACAACGGATTTATATACCCCCTCCTATGCTCACTTCTTGAAGAGCTATCACAGCTCAGTCAATACAGTGACAAACTACAGGCTGGACAGCCAGGGTTAGAATCCCAGTATGGGCAAAGCATTTTTCTCTACTCCACAGCATCCAGACCAGCTGTGGGGCCCACCCAGTCTCCTATCCAATTGGTAACAGGGACTCTTTCCCCGGGGTTAAAGTGGTCAGGGCATGAAGCTGACCACTCCCTCCTAGTGCTAAGATCAAGAATGGTGGAGCTATATCTCCACCCCCCATATACCTTCATGGTGTGGTACTTAATTAATTAAGCACATTTTTACCCTTTCTTCTTGGGAACTTTATTACAGTGCTGAAATATAATGTATGCATCTACAAACAAATTATATATTCAAACACCTTTGACCAATTTATATAATACCTGTATGGAATACGTGTACTAATCATGTGTAGTACCTTTCAAAACCTCTCACTTTATACAACCCAGAACTAATAATGTGGTCCCATAATTTTATTATTTCATTTGATGTGACATCATCTGTGGTACTTAAATGACATATTTTAATGATACCTACATGACCAGTTTTCCTTCAAATAACACTCTGAAGAGATCATAGCTACAGATTATATTTGTAACTTCAGCAACAACTGAAACTATAATAATACCAGGATTGTCTCCAAATACATTTAAATTTGAAGAAATATTAGTATTTGACCCATCATTTCCATCACAACCACACTCATAATACAGGGTGTTTCACTCGGGGCGGAACCCGGCATTTCGTTAATAACTTGGATACTAATAAAGATACTGCAACAAAATTTTAACACTACTGTAAAGTAGCACATCTGTTCCATGAGAAATGAAGTCTGTGTGTAATGCGCCGTCTGAGTCTCACGACATGGAGTAGCAACGGTGTCAATGTGTCGCACCCGTTAATCAGCTGTCCTTATCTGCATCCGGTCTGTTGCGCCAGTCTAGCCCCTTCGTACTTGGCTCTGTTGGACTCATTTGTTTTTGCGCTTTTGGCTGAGGGTGTTTAGACATTGCAGTTGTTCTTCTCGAGTGTTGTTCGCCAGTGTGAAGTGAAGTGGGTACACAACGGAAAAATGGATCTGTACACCCTGGAGCAGTGAGTGTTTATTGTGCGCGCATATTGGAAAACAGAATCGATCAAGGCATGTCAACAACAACTCCTGGCAAAGTTTGGAGGCAGAGTTCCACCGAGTAAGTCCAGAATTTGGGCCTTGTCCAAAAAACTTGAAACCAAGGGGACACTTTTGGATCAGCACACAGGAGGTCGTCCAGCAATATCAGCGGAAATGATCCAGGATGTGAAGGCCTGACTGCTAGCATCTCCTAAGAAGTCATTGCACCAAGTTTCGCAGGAATCAGGTCTTTCGACAAGCACTTGCTATCATGCTGTGAAGAAATCTAAGCTTCATGTATACCGAATCTCCGTGGTGCACGAGTTAAAAGAGCCAGATTACGCGAAGAGTGGCGTACTGTCAATGGTTACAGACCCTTGTCCAGGATAATCCGGACATTCTGGACTACACTTGGTTTTCGGATGAGGCGTGGTTCCATCTTTCCGGATACGTTAATTTGCAAAATTGTCACATTTGGGCAAGCGAGAATCCCAATGCGATACACGAAGAACCCCTTCATTCCAAGATGATTTGTGTTTGGTGTGGAATTTCTCGGCGGCGCATAATTGGACCCATCTTCTTCGACATGACAATCACTATNCTCCTAAGAAGTCATTGCACCAAGTTTCGCAGGAATCAGGTCTTTCGACAAGCACTTGCTATCATGCTGTGAAGAAATCTAAGCTTCATGTATACCGAATCTCCGTGGTGCACGAGTTAAAAGAGCCAGATTACGCGAAGAGTGGCGTACTGTCAATGGTTACAGACCCTTGTCCAGGATAATCCGGACATTCTGGACTACACTTGGTTTTTGGATGAGGTGTGGTTCCATCTTTCCGGATACGTTAATTTGCAAAATTGTCACATTTGGGCAAGCGAGAATCCCAATGGTATACACGAAGAACCCCTTCATTCCAAGATGATTTGTGTTTGGTGTGGAATTTCTCGGCGGCGCATAATTGGACCCATCTTCTTCGACATGACAATCACTATAGCAGCGTACCTAGATATCTTCCACTGCTTTGTGAATCAACTGGACAATGAGGAATTATCCATCGGTTATTTCCAGCAGGATGGAGCAACAGCACACACCTCGCACGCAAGCAGGGCCGAAATCCAGTCTTTTTTCGGCAACCGCGTCATTTCTAGGGGACTTTGGCCACCGCGCTCGCCCGATCTAACGCCGCCTGATTATTTTTTGTGGGGACATTTGAAAGTGCAAGTTTACACCAACAAACCGTGAACCATAGAGGTATAAAGCAAACATAAGTGAGGCCATCCAAGAAGTGACACCTGACGTACGGGCATGGACTTTCCAAAACATGGCGCGCCGAGTCCAATGCTGTCTGGACGCAATGGTGGCCATTTCCAGCACTTGTTATGTCACCAGACTTCACATGAACTGGGGTAAGTCCCACTCCAAATTTCGTTGCAATATCTTTATTAGTATCCGAGTTATTAACAAAATGCTGGGTTCCGCCCCGAGTGAAACACCCTGTATTAGAAACATATGGTTTGTCGATGGCATCCTGATCACAATAAAATTGCTTTCAAAATCAACCAACTGCAGTACCCTTCTTGTGCATATGGTTTTAGTCTCAATGACATCACTGCCACTTGAATTATCACTGAAACTGCCACCACAATTCTCCCTGCCACTCTCACTAGGACAGTGAGATAAGTATACACTATAATTCACTTGAAATACCTTTTTTATGGTTAAAGAGATTGTAAACATATTATTGTCTCCATTAAAATGAGAAATGACAGAGGTTTACAAGCTTGTAAGCAAGGTTTCTTGGAAACAATAAATAATTATTTATTGTATTATAATACAAAATGACATGCCAACATCAGAAACTGAAAATGAAACAATCTTTAGTGTCTAGACCATATATTCACGTCACTAACTGATTATGATGCACCCACAAAGATGTAGAAATGATGGCAGATGCCATAAAATTACCTCTGCATGAAACACGGGAAGTCTTACAACTAGTATGCAACAACTCAAAAGAAGTCAATGATCACTGCACAATGTGTGAATATTATGTGAATATTATGATTATGAAGCACTTTATCACATAACTTGTCTCCATGCTTCCATTACATTCTCTCTCTTAGGTCCAAATATTGTCATCAAAACTTCATTCTCAAACACCATCAATCACTGTATATATAGCTTACTGTTGAGTTTCATTCAAAGAAGATGAGGTGATACAGTATACCTGACATCACAAAATTCCAAATTCAATATGTCCTCTTAAGAATTCATGACAGCGTGCATTGTCCACCCTCTAATACAAAGTTGTTTCCTTTTACAATGTGATTTCCAGGGTAAACCATCATAAATTGAATCATCATAAACTGGATCCTGTTTTCCTTACATGCAGTTTTATAAATGGTGGTTAGTTATATTCCTGACTATGGGCTGACTTACTGACTCCGTGGTTTTAGTCCGCAAGCGAACTATACCGACCAAGTGACTGCCACTTGTCAGTGAAGTTAGTGCCAACTTTAGCAGACAGAGGGTGTCACATAGTCAGCGCAACGAATCCCCATGACCATTAATTTCGGTTTTCTAGACCAGAGACTATGGGCTACAAATCCGTTTTTTTGAGAAGAGTTAAAAACATGATATTTAATAAAATGTATCAAATTACAAAATACCTTGCAGTATAAATTCATAAGACATGTAGAACTTGCATATTATATGCTCATATTAATTTGTTTAGCTGACTGTCTAGATAATATGGGACCCTCAATGTCTCACAACCCTATGGGCCATCACGGCCTGTTACAGGGATAGCTTTACTTTTTACTTTTTTACTGTACTCCTTTATACATGAGCCACTGGGTTAATACTGTCCTTCCACATGCCTTGACCACTCACACTGACTCTTTCCATGAGATTCTAAACCAAAAATGTTTGTGAAGTCCCCTCCTCTCTAGGTGTGTTACATGTCCCTGTTCACATCAACTTTTTGACTTTATCAATCTACTGATAATGGGGAAAGAGCATGAACTATGAAACTCCTCATTCTGTACTATTCTCCATTGTCTTGGTATTGTTCTCAGAGTAAACTCCCAGTTATCCAGTATTATTCAGGCATCTGCTGTTCTCACACAACTGGCAAAACATTTAAAGAATATATACTATTTTTACAAAGTTACTTCAAAAATAAGGTTGAATGTGAATAAATTCATCTACTATGCAGTAGTTCTTCCAGCTGCCACTAGCAGTGCTGTTTGTTATCCTTTATCACACAGGTTCCATTACAGTAAAGGTTAGTTCAATCTGTGATCAGCTGCAATGTGAAAACCTGCCAATTCATTATGCTGCCTAAGAAGACTTCCACACAAGAACTAGAGCAAAAATATTTTACTTTGACTTATGTTTTAGTTTCTATACTTTCTTCCCAAACAACCAGGAGATTAATGTAATAAGCATATCCTGTACCCCATACATGCTGGATAACTGGGAACTTGCTGCACCATAAAGAACTGCTGTAAATGACTGAAAACTACTAATGACAACCCCACTGAATGAAGAATTTCCCTGATAAGAATCCTGAATGTGAATGTACTTATAATGGCACCTACTCACATAGGATGTCAACAACTCTGCATCCCAACAGTCACAAGCGTAATGGGCCATCTCATTGCCCATGTGCTGGCGGAATCTTAGCTTGACTGGGTCCACTCCAATGCGGATCAGGAACAGCTGAATTCGGGCCATGAAGTAGCCCAGAGTCTGGTTAGCAACTAGACCCTGTCACAATAATTGATATACTAAATATCTGCATGTCTGCATGAAGCAACTGTGCTGTGACTGAACATACCTGGCACAGATCTACAGCACAAAGAAACATGTCACACATATATGATTCTGAGCAACATGACAAAGATTCTGCTACCTGATATCTTAAGTTTCCTCAGTCATGTAAATTAAGATTGTTTTCTTGGTTATGAAACTATTCAGTTTCACACCTGGTATTCTGCTTCTGGGGAACTTACTTGACTTTTACACTGAAAATGGGGGCAGCAGCCCCTCTGGAAGGTTACTAACTGCCTACACGACTACATATACCATTATTTTTATTATTGCTAGTGGGTGGGACTAAGTCCCTTGTACTGCGGCCACTTCTGGCCTATTGTACCAGCCCCAGATGATAGGTGAGGGTGATTATTGAGCAATTGGTGGAATAAAGATTGGGAGGGGAAACCGAAGTACTCTGAGAAAACCTGCCACACCACCACTTTGTCCACCGCAAATCCCACTTGACCAGACCCGGGATCGAACCCAGACCACAACGGTGGGAAGCCAGAGACTAGCCGCTTGATCTATGGCGCGGCTCTACACATACCATAATCAGAAGACCACAATCTTAATTTTATCTGCTTGATTATGGTGAACCTTATATTAGACCCTCAACTTTTTGATGACACTCTGAATGAGGGATACATTTTCAATTTCTAGTTAAAACATTCTAAATGCAGTATGGAAATATTAATTAAAATTTGGAAGTGCTTAGATTTAGAGAACATGGAAGAAATTCATTACCAATTTTTCTGCAATCTTTTTTATTTTTTATTTTTAAATGGCCTCCTCATACCAATGTGCCAGTAGACATGGGTGAGTGCATGTGAGAGTGCACGCACACATACTATTTACACACAGTAATGGAAAGATTACATGCAATTTATGCTTAGCATTTTAAGAGGTGTATGCATATCCCCCAACATTTATTTGTGTGATGATGATGAAACACTACAAGTTTTTGTTTAACCTCTTTAACAGCTTGCCCAATAGAGTGCAGCTCTGCAGACTTGCCATCCATCTGGTTTGCAGCAGAGTACAAAAGCATTTCAGTGTCCTGTACATTTTCAAACTTTGGATGATTCTTCTCCATCGGATCACAGAAGTGCTCAATTTCTGCCATTGTGAACTCTCTGCCAACAAAAAGAAAACACTCAAAATGAATACAGGCACCAAAAAAAGGGGGGGGGGGAAGCTATCCCTGTAACAGGCTGTGGAGGCCCATAGGGTTGTGAGATGTCGAGGCTTCCACATTTTCTAGACAATAGAATCAAAGACGGCAATGATGTCAACCTTAAGTGTCAGCCACCCTTTACTCTCCAGGAAGATTCCTGGTACTCATTCTGTTAGAGGGTGAGTTGACCCCAGGGCCATAGTGCACATTGAAGGATTAGGTCAATTGAAAAATCCAATGACATCATCAGGAATCAAACCCACAAACTTCCGGCTTGTAGCATAGAGCCTCAACCAACTATGCTACCATGTGCCCCTCAAAATGAATACATTTCAAAACTTAATGTCCAGTGCACAGCTGACAAATACAGCAAGTTATTCCCACTGTCCATTACAGGACATTTAACAATACATCATATTTCCAAACATGTGGTGCCATGCTAACCTGACTCGTATGAGTCCAGACCGGGGGGAGATCTCATTTCGGAAAGCATTCCCTATCTGCGCAGCAGCAAATGGCAAGCGTCCTTGGTTGAACTCCAGCAGACGTTTGAAATTTACAAAGATCCCCTGTGCAGTCTCTGGCCGTAAGAAACTGTAAACAAAGATGGCACAATGAACAGTAAACAAAGTACACATACCAATCCTAAACGACACTGATGACTGCTATTATGATCTGTATCACAAAGGAAAAGTACTGAAAAGCAATATATGAAAAAGAAGTTTCAAGAATAAATTACAGTATGATACTATTCTGAACCCTTCCATTTATGTGGAAAAGTCATCAGAAGGTGAGATGATTATACAGCTTGTAAGAGGCAAAAATCTATCCCTGTGCTTAACTAATGAAGCACAATGCCATGACAAAGTATGGGGGAGTGGATGTACAGATCCACATTTTCTTGAGCTCGGCAGCAGATGGAGGTGTGGTCAGCTTCACGCCCCACGGAAAGAACTCCTGGTAACCATTGGATAGGGGGCTGGGTGGGCCCCAGAGCTGGTCTGGACAACATGGAGAAGAGAAACTTTTTTTACCATACTGGGACTTGAAATCCAACCCCTCAGTCATCCAGCCCATAGCCAGTCACTATACCAACTACCAGTGGCGGCTCGTAGCTAAAATTAGTGGGGGTGCTGCTCCAGAAGCGCACAGTTCCATACAAAGATTTGGCTACTGACATTAAGCTTAAGGATTATATATTGTATTGTACAAGTATAAAGGAAGAATTAAAGAAAAAAGGACTCATTATATAAATGTTATCGATAATATCATGTGGAAATTGGGGGTGCTGCAGTTCCGCAGTGCCTATAAACGGGCCGCTCCTGCCAACTACACTATCCCAGCTCACCACCTAGACAGCTTGTAATCAATAATTATACATTTCCTCTATCTGACTCTGTAATATATAACCTCAAAGGTTCACACCATCACCATGTTTGTAATATAGAACACACAAAACAAATTTCATGCAGAATTTGTGAGAATGTTTATGTACCAAATTACACATGCCTGTTCATCAGTTATTGCTCTCAAACAGAGCACTAAATGCAGATTTCATTTTGTCCCCATGTTGCTAATATTCTTTCTAGAGAACTAACCTTAATAAAAGTAATTTAACTATTTTAAGGTCTATGATGAAATACAACTGCAACATCCAACACAAATATCATTTCAACTTCAGTTGTTCACAGGTATTTACTGGTGTTACTGATGGTAAGACACCAAAAATGTAGAGGCTGGTTGACCCTCAATGGCACAACATTCATACAATTTTCTTACACTTGGCTATCGTTATTCAAAAACCTTACCATTCTTTATGACAGATGTCCATTCTTCTCTCAGCTTTTTGCCTCCATCTCTTTATTTTCAGCCCTCGTAAATCATTCTACACTTTTCAGCCGTCAGTTGGGGTCTTTCCACTTTTCCTCTACCTTCTGGTTTACTTTAAAAGAATTTTTTGGCCACCCTTGCAGTCTATTCACATGCCTCAATCACTGCAGCCTTCTCTTATCACATCTGCTACCAGATCAGCAGTTATATACAAGGGAGAATCAGTAAATGTCACAAATGGAAGTATAACAGCTTTAACAGGTATAACAGGATTTCTGTATATATATACACGATGGGGTACCCAAAAGAAACCGAACTAATTTTTTTGTGGGCAGAGCTTTTGTAGTACATTTTGCCGCTATGAGCGCATAGAGCTAACATTCCTGAGTCGATAAGCCGACTACCGTTGCTTCAGAAGGTAANTCAAGGAAGATCGACGACGGACCATTGAAGAAATTGTGGAGCTGTCGGGAGTGACTTGGAGCTCAGTTCAGCGAATTTTGACAGAAGATTTGGGAATGAAAAGGGTGGCTGCGAAATTCGTGCCACGACTGCTGACTGCTGAACAAAAACAAGGTCGCGTGGAAGCATGCTGTGCTTTGAAAGAAGAGTCCTGAAATGATTAAAACTTTTTTTATGTTTCCTCGAATGAAAAGAGACATGAAAATAAAGCGTTTTGCTGATGTTGCTGAGGTGAAGGAAAAAATGACGGAGGTGCTGTCAAGCATCTCAAAAGATGAATTTAGACAATGTTTTGAAAAATGGAATAAAAGACTAGACAAGTGTATTAGTGTAAGTGGAGAGTACTTTGAAGGGGACTGAAGGTTTGTGCTTAAAATTTGAATAAATAAGTTTAAAAAAAATAAGTTCGGTTTCTTTTGGGTACCCCCTCGTATATATCATTAGACAGCACAGCCCAGCAGACGCACATGCACATGTTGAGAGGCTGGTTTCAGTAATCAAAATGGTGACCATGCTTGAGGAGTGTATTACCAGAGCAGTATTCTGCTGCGTCTTTTGTTGTCAAAAGGACTTAATGCAAAGGATATTCATTAAGAAATGTTTCCTGTTTACAGTGGTAAGTACTTATTGCATAAAGTGGTTCACAAATGTGTGGCAAATATTTCGCTGATGATGAAGAGGTTGAAATGGAGGTGCGAAAGTGGCTGAGACAACAGTCAAAAGACTTCTATGCTGCAGGTATCAATGTGCTGGTAAAGCGATGGGACAAGTGTATCAATCTTGGTAAAGGATATGCCAAGAAATAAATGTTTCTTTTCCAGGTTCAAATATCACATTTTTTTTTTATATATTTTATATCCATTTGTGACCTATTTACGGACTCTCCCTTGTATAATTCTATCAGTTTCTGGTTAGTTCTGATTCTTCATGCCCTTGCTCAGTTACCAGTCCATAAACCTTCCTCAAAAATGGTCTCTTCCACATATGTAACATAACATCCTGTGATGGACCACTTTTTGTATCCACACATTAAAGCCAGTTCTATCACTGTTTTTTACACTTTAATTTTTATATTCTTCTCACAGTTATGGACTTAAAAATGTGTTGAAAATCAGAACAACATCAAATGACCACTGCAATTATCATCTTGATTTCATCAGCAATTTCATTTCCCCCTGCTACCAAAGTACCTAATCATTTAAAATGTTCCCACTGCTTCAAAACCATGACTGCCAGTTACTAGTGTTACTGACGATATGGCCTTGGGAAGCGCAGAGAGAGGGTACCAGCTTTCACTGGCACATTTTGTACATGGTAACATGAAAATCTGACAAGTCTTGAAAGTTATTATAGCAGAGCAGTGAAATGTGTGAATACACGTGTGTACACATACATTATGATTATACCAACAATAAAGATGGCCTTATAAAACAAGGAATGTAGGCTAAAAAAAACAGAGCAAAAGACAAAGACTACTCACCCCTTGACAAGCCCTGAGGGACCAATTTGTGTTGCAAACATCAGGTTGAACTCTATGGGTTCTGTCAGTTCATTGCCAGTGAGTGGGGACTGGATTTTGAATTTTTCCAACACTGCACTCATCTCTGCTTTTGTCATGCCATCCAGCTACCAAATGCAATAAAACTGTACTTAACACCCTCGCCTCATTATATATGTCCTTGCCATGCAGTTCAAAATGAACCAACAACAAAGTGTTCTATAATGAAAATCATGTGCTGAGAAACACAAAGTTTACCTCTGTTCACAAAGGCTGCTGGCTCAGTCTGCAATGAGTACCACAGTCAGATAGGAATGAGCAAGTCAAATTAGTACAAAAGGCACAATTCAAAATGAAATGAGAAAATGAATACAGAAAACATGAAAATTTTATCAAAAGGAATTATATATATCAAATACTTTGGGGAAGGGGATGATTTTTAAAGTTCAGCTTTGGCCAAAAGCACTACATGCATCTGAAATGAAATAAAACTAAATAACACACACAGTCACAGGAGCAAGACACAACACAAAGCACAATACACACACGAAAGTAGGAAGAGTACTCCGATAGAAGAAGATAGGTGTGACTCGCGTATTGAGATACGACATAAGGATGACAAATCCTGAACAGTTTTAATATTTTTAATATTTAAAATTTATCAATATATATGATGAATATATATTTTAGTTATTTTAGTATGAAGACAACAGGGCATGCAATGAAGTAGTTTGACGTACATCGAAAAGCACCTGAAGATGGCACTTTTGTGCTGAAACATGTAGTGCAAGAGAGAAGAGTAAGGTGAATAAATGTATGCACTGTAAGACGGTTGGAATAAATCATGGACATAAATCAGTGCAACAGGACGCTAAAATATAACATTAAAACTAAATAAACTGTAAAGTTCAGATATTTTCATTTTTGAGAGGTAAACCTGGAAAAAGGACAAAATAAATGACAAGCCAGGATAAAAAGAGTAAAAGCTAACAAACTGAGGGATACTTCAGGAAATAAATGGTTTGATTATGCAATATACAGATATATTGGTCAATTCTTCACCACAATGCATGCAGTTCTAATCTTCTAATCTTAGTGGCAAACAATTTCACTTTTAATGTGAGAATACCCATAGAATTTTTTCGTGGCCTTAGCTAGAAAACATGAAATTACCAACTGGATGGATGTGAATTATATGGCATCAAATGAGAGGGCAACAGTGAATAATAAATTTTAAAGGACGTGGAAGAAACTTGTAATGGCAAAATTTAAGGCATTACTTTGGTATGTTCCTGGAGAACCATGGGAGCCAGGATAGCGTAGTTGGTATAGAAAGTGGCTAGGCTGGAAGACCGAGGGGCTGGAGTTCAAGTCCCAGTAGGGCCAAGAATTTTTTTCTCCACACTGTCCGGACTGGCACTGGGGCCCACCCAGCCTCCTATCCAATGGGTACTGGGGGCTCTTTCCCCAGGGTAAAACGGCCAGGTCATGAAGCCGACTGCTCACCTCCAACTAGTGCCAAGGTCTAGAAAATTTGGATCTATACAGCCACTCCCCCATATGCTTTCGTGGTGTAGTGCTTAATTAGTTAAGCACAGGGACCACTCACCTCCAATTAATACCGAGGTCACAAAAATGTGGATCCATACATCCACTCCCCCATACACCTTCATGGCATGGTGCTTAATTGGTTAAGCACAGGGACAAGTTTACCTTTTTTACCTTTTACCTAGAGAACTGTGGAGAAGCATATGAAGCCTCAGTAAAGGTGGCAAGTCTCCATGGTGAGACCTGAGCCCAGGGCCTTCAGAATATGAAGGGGTGTTACTCACTTGATTGCAATGGTTGGGGTAAAAAAATCTATAACTGTACAGCACATGAGCAAAGCCCATCTGTCAACCACTACTCCTATCTTATTTACAAATGCTAGTGCACAAGTCATTAGTTACATGAGAAGAAAATATACATTTATCATCTCAGTGTGGCCCTTATGAGTAAGGGGTTTAACATGCCTGAGCTAAACATATCTGCAACTTATACACAAAATAATGTTTGCAAGTCAACAATTACCAACAAAGTAACATTGCAAAATTTCGGGGCTATGTTGGACAAAATTAAAATAAAATCAGAAATTAAATAATAAGTTCTTCACATAAAGGAAAATGATTATGTTACTGTTATTAACAACTACAACAATCATGATAATAATCTGTAATATACTATGGCATATATACTCAAAGAAAAAACTGTGGAGCCAGAGAAACAGCCTTATACAGAATGGCTCTGAAACAACATTCATTTCTAGGCAGCGGCCTAGAAAAAAACAACTGAACAATGTCCATTTCTAAGCAGCAGATTCCTGAAAAGCATCAACAACTGAACAAGAAAAAGAGGAATGGTGTTTTCTGTGCAGTTCATGCTCAGTTGAAAGTCTGGCTGTGACAACTCAGAAGACTTTATGTGTGCTGTAGTTACAGTGCTATTTGGAGTAATTCAGTGAGACTGTTATAGTTATAGCATTAGAAGCTGTTGTCAGAAAATGGCTAGTGGAGACTGTAACAGACTGATAACACTAGTCTGTGTGCTCTAGTAATTTGTAAAGTCTGGAGATCTACAATGGCACTGTAGCTACTTTAGTTACAATCTCTATCCTTTGCTAGAAAATAGCTTATGTGTGAACCCTTAAATTACACTTTCAAAACTGAAATGAATGTCCCATTACATGCATATGATTCCAGCAACAAACAATTCAGACAGCATAATTTTCTTACAACTATCAGTGATTTTTAAATTTCTAATTTCCGAAGGCAGAAACATAAGCTCAGGCACAGGGCTAAGATCCTTTCTTTAGAAGAAGCAATTGTGAATAGATGACATGAAGATTAAAGGACATATGTGTCAGTTATATATCTGCAATAAAGTATTCCTTTTTGCCAATACAATATAGGCTGGAAACAATCTGCAGAGTAGTGATATATGTCTCTGAAGCTAAATCATACATCCTGAAATTTTAAATAGGAGAGTATATGACTGTTTCTTTACCAATTACAGAGAAACTCTGATATAACAATATCCTGCAGTTAGCAAATACATTTTCTGGTCACAGGCCATGCCCAATATAGGCAATGTATTATTTCCCATAAATGACGAATTCTGATTTTGTAAGTAACCTACATTTAGTGCAAGAAGTGTGTGATCTTCCAAAACTCATACTTACACTTAGTGTGACTCTGTTTAAAACAGTAACTGATAAATCACATTTTCTCTCTACCAGAATTTGTCAATCAACAACTACAATCCTTAGCAAGTGATGTCACATACTGTACACACATTGAACCATACTGCTTGTGGCACAGCCACTTTGATTCTTAATGACATAGCTGCTCTGATTCCTGTCTGAGGTTCTTTCAATATTTATTTCATCTGTCAATTACTTTAGAAATTAATTTGATATTACTGATTATGTGATTGTATTTATTTATGAAGTAAGTTTCATTAAAATGTCGCGCCACAGCTCAAGCGATTAATCATTGGCTTTCCACCATGGCGACCTGGGTTCGATCCCGGGTGTGGTCAAGTGGGATTTGTGGTGGATAAAGTGGCGCTGGGGCAGGTTTTCTCCAAGTACTTCGGTTTCCCTTGCCAATCTTCATTCGACCAAATTTTCCATCATCATAATCACCCAGGGCACGCTACAATAGGTCAATCAGTGGCCACCGTGCCAAATGGACCCAGTTGGACTCCACCCCCCACTAAGCGAATAGAAAAAAGGTTTCATTAATTACTTATGTGAAGAAAGGAGTATATAATAACTGTATAAATTAATTCTCATAAGAAGAAGAAAGAGTTTTTGGTGCAATTGATGACACTATGTAGTCTGATTTATTGGCAGAATCATTAAATGTATTACAAATAAAGTGATGTCAGTTTTCTAAACACCCATTTTGTGAAAACATCAATTTAACACCAGAAAGTCATTCCCATAGAGATTCATTAAATATGAATTTCATGCAACTGAATTCTGAAAATATTGCCTACTAACAATTTAGAGACTAATTGGCCATTAAATGATTGATTAAAAGAATAATTTATCATTTAATCATAGCAACTGTGATTCTTAACACATTGCGGACCGGACAGGCCATATTGCCCTCTACGTTTCGAAGTGTTGCAGACCGGGCAGGCCATATAGCCCTATACGGTCACGTTATGTTGCAAAACGCTATATATCGCTGTGTGGCT